CAAACGTAGCGATCGTCCGCTTTGTCTTTGCGTTCTACGTTTCTAATGAAGCCTGTCGAGACAGTGGTGCACACTCAATCCACCTAGTTTTCAAATACTCTTTTTTTTAATTATTGGCTTTTGCCTCGTGTTATGTCGACTATCCTGCGATGCTATGCTTGTGATGTATCGCAAATGTAGCGATCGTCCGCTTTGCTTTTGCGTTCTACGTTTCTAATGAAGCCTGTCGAGACAGTGGTGCACACTCAATCCACCTAGTTTTCAAATACTCTTTTTTAAAATTATTGGCTTTTGCCGCGTGTTATGTAGACTATCCTGCGATGCTATGCTTGTGATGTATCACAAACGTAGCGATCGTCCGCTTTGCCTTTGCGTTCTACGTTTCTAATGAAGCCTGTCGAGACAGTGGTGCACACTCAATCCACCTAGTTTTCAAATACTCTTTTTTTTTAATTATTGGCTTTTGCCTCGTGTTATGTCGACTATCCTGCGATGCTACGCTTGTGATGTATCGCAAATGTAGCGATCGTCCGCTTTGCCTTTGCGTTCTACGTTTCTAATGAAGCCTGTTGAGACAGTGGTGCACACTCAATCCACCTAGTTTTCAAATACTCTTTTTTTTTAGTTATTGGCTTTTGCCTCGTGTTATGTCGACTATCCTGCGATGTTATGCTTGTGATGTATCGCAAATGTAGCGATCGTCCGCTTTGCCTTTGCGTTCTACGTTTCTAATGAAGCCTGTCGAGACAGTGGTGCACACTCAATCCACCTAGTTTTCAAATACTCTTTTTTTTAAATTATTGGCTTTTGCCTCGTGTTATGTCGACTATCCTGCGCTGCTATGCTTGTGATGTATTGCAAATGTAGCGATCGTCCGCTTTGCCTTTGCGTTCTACGTTTCTAATGAAGCCTGTCGAGACAGTGGTGAGCACTCAATCCACCTAGTTTTCAAATACTCTTTTCTTTAATTATTGGCTGTTGCCTCGTGTTATGTCGACTATCCTGCGATTCTATGCTTGTGATGAATCGCAAATGTAGCGATCGTCCGCTTTGCCTTTGCGTTCTACGTTTCTAATGAAGCCTTTCGAGACGGTGGTGCACACTGAATCCACCTAGTTTTCAAATACTCTTTTTTTAATTATTGGCTTTTGCCTCGTGTTATGTCGACTATCCTGCGATGTTATGCTTGTGATGTATCGCAAATGTAGCGATCGTCCGCTTTGCCTTTGCGTTCTACGTTTCTAATGAAGGCTGTCGAGACAGTGGTGCACACTCAATCCACCCAGTTTTCAAATACTCTTTTTTTAATTATTGGCTTTTGCCTCGTGTTATGTCGACTATCCTGCGATGCTATGCTTGTGATGTATCGCAAATGTAGCGATCGTCCGCTTTGCCTTTGCATTCTACGTTTCTAATGAAGCCTGTCGAGACAGTGGTGCACACTCAACCCACCTAGTTTCCAAATACTCTTTTTTTTAATTATTGGCTTTTGCCTCGTGTTATGTCCTGCGATGCTATGCTTGTGATGTATCGCAAATGTAGCGATCGTCCGCTTTGCCTTTGCGTTCTACGTTTCTAATGAAGCCTGTCGAGACAGAGGTGCACAATCAATCCACCTAGTTTTCAAGTACTCTTTTTTTAATTATTGGCTTTTGCCTCGTGTTATGTCGACTATCCTGCGATGCTATGCTTGTGATGTATCGCAAATGTAGCGATCGTCCGCTCTGCCTTTGCGTTCTACGTTTCTAATGAAGCCTGTCGAGTCAGTGGTGCACACTCAATCCACCTAGTTTTCAAATACTTTTTTTTTAATTATTGGCTTTTGCCTCGTGTTATGTCGACTATCCTGCGATGCTATGCTTGTGATGTATCGCAAATGTAGCGATCGTCCGCTTTGCCTTTGCGTTCTACGTTTCTAATGAAGCCTGTCGAGACAGTGGTGCACACTCAATCCACCTAGTTTTCAAATACTCTTTTTTTTAATTATTGGCTTTTGCCTCGTGTTATGTCGACTATCCTGCGCTGCTATGCTTGTGATGTATTGCAAATGTAGCGATCGTCCGCTTTGCCTTTGCGTTCTACGTTTCTAATGAAGCCTGTCGAGACAGTGGTGAGCACTCAATCCACCTAGTTTTCAAATACTCTTTTTTTTAATTATTGGCTGTTGCCTCGTGTTATGTCGACTATCCTGCGATTCTATGCTTGTGATGAATCGCAAATGTAGCGATCGTCCGCTTTGCCTTTGCGTTCTACGTTTCTAATGAAGCCTTTCGAGACGGTGGTGCACACTGAATCCACCTAGTTTTCAAATACTCTTTTTTTAATTATTGGCTTTTGCCTCGTGTTATGTCGACTATCCTGCGATGTTATGCTTGTGATGTATCGCAAATGTAGCGATCGTCCGCTTTGCCTTTGCGTTCTACGTTTCTAATGAAGGCTGTCGAGACAGTGGTGCACACTCAATCCACCCAGTTTTCAAATACTCTTTTTTTTAATTATTGGCTTTTGCCTCGTGTTATGTCGACTATCCTGCGATGCTATGCTTGTGATGTATCGCAAATGTAGCGATCGTCCGCTTTGCCTTTGCATTCTACGTTTCTAATGAAGCCTGTCGAGACAGTGGTGCACACTCAATCCACCTAGTTTCCAAATACTCTTTTTTTTTTAATTATTGGCTTTTGCCTCGTGTTATGTCCTGCGATGCTATGCTTGTGATGTATCGCAAATGTAGCGATCGTCCGCTTTGCCTTTGCGTTCTACGTTTCTAATGAAGCCTGTCGAGACAGAGGTGCACAATCAATCCACCTAGTTTTCAAGTACTCTTTTTTTTAATTATTGGCTTTTGCCTCGTGTTATGTCGACTATCCTGCGATGCTATGCTTGTGATGTATCGTATCGCAAATGTAGCGATCGTCCGCTCTGCCTTTGTATTCTACGTTTCTAATGAAGCCTGTCGAGTCAGTGGTGCACACTCAATCCACCTAGTTTTCAAATACTTTTTTTTAATTATTGGCTTTTGCCTCGTGTTATGTCGACTATCCTGCGATGCTATGCTTGTGATGTATCGCAAATGTAGCGATCGTCCGCTCTGCCTTTGCGTTCTACGTTTCTAATGAAGCCTGTCGAGTCAGTGGTGCACACTCAATCCACCTAGTTTTCAAATACTTTTTTGAAATTATTGGCTTTTGCCTCGTGTTATGTCGACTATCCTGCGATGCTATGCTTGTGATGTATCGCAAATGTAGCGATCGTCCGCTCTGCCTTTGCGTTCTACGTTTCTAATGAAGCCTGTCGAGTCAGTGGTGCACACTCAATCCACCTAGTTTTCAAATACTTTTTTAAAATTATTGGCTTTTGCCTCGTGTTATGTCGACTATCCTGCGATGCTATGCTTGTGATGTATCGCAAATGTAGCGATCGTCCGCTTTGCCTTTGCATTCTACGTTTCTAATGAAGCCTGTCGAGACAGTGGTGCACACTCAATCCACCTAGTTTCCAAATACTCTTTTTTTTTAATTATTGGCTTTTGCCTCGTGTTATGTCGACTATCCTGCGATGCTATGCTTGTGATGTATCGCAAATGTAGCGATCGTCCGCTCTGCCTTTGCGTTCTACTTTTCTAATGAAGCCTGTCGAGTCAGTGGTGCACACTCAATCCACCTAGTTTTCAAATACTTTTTTTAAATTATTGGCTTTTGCCTCGTGTTATGTCGACTATCATGCGATGCTATGCTTGTGATGTATCGCAAATGTAGCGATCGTCCGCTTTGCCTTTGCGTTCTACGTTTCTAATGAAGCCTGTCGAGACAGAGGTGCACAATCAATCCACCTAGTTTTCAAGTACTCTTTTTTTTAATTATTGGCTTTTGCCTCGTGTTATGTCGACTATCCTGCGATGCTATGCTTGTGATGTATCGCAAATGTAGCGATCGTCCGCTCTGCCTTTGCGCTCTACGTTTCTAATGAAGCCTGTCGAGTCAGTGGTGCACACTCAATCCACCTAGTTTTCAAATACTTTTTTTTTAATTATTGGCTTTTGCCTCGTGTTATGTCGACTATCCTGCGATGCTATGCTTGTGATGTATCGCAAATGTAGCGATCGACCGCTCTGCCTTTGCGTTCTACGTTTCTAATGAAGCCTGTCGAGTCAGTGGTGCACACTCAATCCACCTAGTTTTCAAATACTTTTTTTTAATTATTGGCTTTTGCCTCGTGTTATGTCGACTATCCTGCGCTGCTATGCTTGTGATGTATCGCAAATGTAGCGATCGTCCGCTCTGCCTTTGCGTTCTACGTTTCTAATGAAGCCTGTCGAGTCAGTGGTGCACACTCAATCCACCTAGTTTTCAAATACTTTTTTTTTAATTATTGGCTTTTGCCTCGTGTTATGTCGACTATCCTGCGATGCTATGCTTGTGATGTATCGCAAATGTAGCGATCGTCCGCTCTGCCTTTGCGTTCTACGTTTCTAATGAAGCCTGTCGAGTCAGTGGTGCACACTCAATCCACCTAGTTTTCAAATACTTTTTTTTAAATTATTGGCTTTTGCCTCGTGTTATGTCGACTATCCTGCGATGCTATGCTTGTGATGTATCGCAAATGTAGCGATCGTCCGCTCTGCCTTTGCGTTCTACGTTCTAATGAAGCCTGTCGAGACAGTGGTGCACACTCAATCCACCTAGTTTTGAGTGTCAGTTTTTCATGGCATTCTGGTCTTGATTCGGCTTGTTGTTTTAGGCGCTTTTGTTTTTAAACGTTGTTCATATTCTCTCTTAGCCGCAGTTTGGCTACAGTGACAGCAAGAGACTCGCCAATGCTAGACCATCTATTTGCCCATACCAGGGATCGTTTGGTGTACCCTACTCACTGTTTGCTATGTTCAATTACCTTCTGAAGTTTTTTTAATGTGGACCTGTTATTTTGCTGACGACTAAAATCGAACAGCGACATTATCTTGTCGTTAGTAAAGTGTTGACTCTCAAAATGCGTTGACTGAAAAATCGTTTTGGGAGGCTAAATTTTTGCACTGATGGCAGAAACACAATAATTCAAATGCTATAATTCGCATTTGCTCAATCTATTTGTGGGACAATAATGATGATGACGTTTTGGCGGAGTTGAATCTCGTATAGGGTAAAGAACAGTTAACTGGAAGAAGAGGTTCTCTGGCAAACTCCGTCGCCCAAATCTGTTCCTGCAGTAGCCGATAGATAGGAGGGAGGGATTCGGTGGATGACATTGTTGAAGGAAGGGGCTCAGTGTTAAATCTAACTCTGGTTTCTCTTTTGTTGGCAAACTTTGGCTGTTCTAAAACATGATCATTGTCGCAATCTTTGGGCTCTCTTTTTTAGCGAGAATCATGTCAAATCTTCAACTTTTTCGCCGCTAACGCGTTTCGAAAGGAAAAATGACATTTCACCTTACTGCTCAGATTGATTTGAACTTGGCCTTTTTTATTTTTTGTTATCAATAATAAATTACACTCTCAAAAAGTTGAGACTGATCGTCAATATAGCTCGACCAGCCTAGTAACAAAATTTAAAGAGCAAAACTCAACACAGATTTCCAAATAATCGGGGCGGGTACAAAAATATGTACATCTCAATTTTGCTGGGTGCACATCAATTGATTAAAGTTGATTGGGGCTAAAATTGAAAAGTAGTTTGATCTTTGATATTACCGCCTGTAAATTTTGAATGCAAAATCATGTGCAGCTTCTTGAGCTCATTGTAATTGAATGCGTCTGAATCAATGCTTCGTTTTTTGGACGCCCTAGTTGTCAGGAAAGGCAAGCCAGCAGTGGGGGCAGTCAGCGCCGACCTTGGGGGCGATCGTTCTCCGCGTCTTCGCAACGTCATCCGCTGTTCAGTCTTCGCTCGAGACAGCAGACCGAGACGCGTCATTTTGTTTGCTCGCTAAAACTCACAATGGCGCTCAAATTTCTGCAAATGATTCTGGGCTTCTTGCACTGTGTAGATTTTTCAAAGCATGAAACTCCTAAGCTTTTTCTAAATCTGTTTTCAAAAATCCTTGTTAAAAAGCCGTTTTGAGTTCGTAGAAGGTAATGAAACATTTTTTACCTGAGCTTCGATTTTCTTTAATTTTAAGTTTGCCCAGTCTCTAGAACTCCTATAGTTAACTGATTCCTTGAGGAGATAGTTTGCGTTTCCTTCAATCAGCAGCAAGTTTGCACATTCAAAATGTTCCATTTTGATTGCCAGAATCAAAGGTGTTACACCATCGGATGATCTGGGGTCAACTCCCAGCCCCAGTTCACGAAAAAGTTTGATGATAAGTGTTAATATAGAGGCGTCTCCATATATCACTGCGTGGTGTAAGTTAGAAAGGCCGTTTGCATCTGTGTTATTCATCGTAATAGTCGCTTTGTTCTCCAAGAGTACATGAAGCAGCGCAGTTCTTCCTGAAGTTTTTCTCATTTTATTATTTGAGCATCCAAAAATGAAGTTTTAGATTTTTTAAAATAATTTCACTGTCGTGGCGTTTTTCAATGGATAAAATACTTTTCTGTTGATGTATTGTATTTCGATATCTCTTTGTGAATTCACATAGTTTTTGATTTTGATGAACACGCTTATATATGAATGAGAAGCCCAAAAATTATGACACTAAAATGATAGAATGCTCTGACAACAACAACAACAACAACAACAACAACAACAACAACAACAACAAGTGTGTACCTTTCATGATGGCGTATGTGAATATGTTCCTGTTGTAGATGTCTGTGGCGTCGTGGTCTGTTCGCGGGTCCTCCATTAGCAAATTGAACATTTTCATCCCCAATTGCTCGTCGTCAATTAAAGCGCACAGTATCAAAGGAGTTTTTTCAGTGTCGTCTCTAGGGTTCACCTGAAATAGTGCAACGATCGGTTGTCAAAAATTTTATTTATTGCAAAGGATTGATCCCTTGTGCTTCTGAAGTTGATTTGCTTGAAATGATAATTTTTGATCTCCAGCTTGTAATTTTTTCGTTAAAGTGACATCAGAGTAAAACTGTTTACAAAAATGTTCAACACAAATTTTGGTTCTTGTAAGAAATCGTGATACTAGTTTTTTTCTACTTCAGATAGTTTCCAAAGACTGAAAATTTTTGAGCCTTCACAAATCACTTACCTTAATTTGTCTGCCCATTTTGAGCAAAAGCCTTAGTTGGTGCACCCTTCCATGGGATACCACTTTATGGAGAATAGACATCACGCGTAACAGATATAAAAGTATCCGGGCGCAATAAAAAAGAAGCTAGTTTTTCAATTTTATCACAACAGTACGGCTAGAGTACTTTTCATTTGTTTATTTGTTGATGAGACCAGAGCTGAACAAGTTTGCAGTTTGTTCCAGTCATAAAAAGCTAGATTAAAATCGAACATAGCGTGTTTTAGTCGGCTTTTTAAAGCGAATAGTATGCAAAGTCATTGGCTAATAACTATGCTTTCTCTTTTAAGCGTCGTGAACGCTCGATTAATTTGAAGCAAAGAGTCATTTTTCTATTGAAAACTTTGAAGATTCGTAGACTATTTTTTGTCAAAAAAATCAGCTCGGTATTGTTTTTAGATGAATGTTTGAATAATAAGCTGTGGCGCTCCAACAATTGAAAAAGGTCCGCTTTGCCTGCACAGTTTGCATAGTTGTTGCCATATTGTATGTAATAGGTCAGATAGTACTCTATGCAGATCTTAGGCGAAGCGCTAGCTCAATGTCACCCGCTCTATTTAACCAAGATGACGATGAAAGTGTGAAAGAAACTGGTCATGCTAGACAGAGGAAAGTTGAATTGGTTGACTGTACAGACAAGGATGGTGCAACAGTCTCATCAAGCTTTGTTAGTTTTACGCATTCAAATGTCATGTGAAAACTGGGAAGGCTCCACCACCCCATTTGAACATAACGTCGCCATTTGAACATTAAGTAATCTCAGTGCTGCTTTGTAAAAAACACCACAAGCAATAACCTAAAGCTTTTCAAATGCTAATGAACCAAGTTTACGTCAATAATTAAATGCTCAGCTCTCAAATGCCATTGATTGATTATATCAAAAGTTTCAACTTTTTTTCGGAAAAATTCAGCCGTTTTTTGGTTTCCTTAATTTTATCAACATTTTTCCCACTATCTGTTGGCTAGGTTTTAAACGTTTTTAGACAGTGAGTTTGCCAGTTAAGTTAAGAAAAAAAAAGTCTTTATAAAGAAAGGTTTTTTAATTTTAAAGGTCAACGACGATTATTGTGACTTTGGATGCGATGAGCCTCTGACCTCAGCATGCAACGACCAGAAGTTCAAGTGCAGAAAGGGTCGCAAGGTCATCCCGACTTCCTTTCTTTTCGACGGTGGTAAGTGATTGCGTTTCACACAGGGCATTTGCTCTGTAATGCTAAGCCTAACAATGATAGTCACAATTTGGGAATTGTACCGCTTCCTTCAAAATTCAATCTCATGCATTAACCGAACTGCATACTTTTTCTGAGGTTTGCTTTTTGGTGAAACTGAGAAAACTCACTTGTCAGGGCAAATGTCTTCAAGTGATACCAAGTTCGCTTCGCCTGTGTTGAATTTTTGTTTCGCACATATCTGAAACGCACACATCTGCTGTCCAAACGTCTTCCCCGTCATATTTAGCGGTAAAAAATCACAGTCACTTACCGATTCAGTATTGCCTGGCATGATAGTACTTTTGATTTTTGGCTAATTTTATTGCTGTTAGTTCGGTAATTGTTGAGTGGTTGTCAGTTTCTTTGAATTTTTTTCTTCTGTGTCAGATAGATTCGGTAGATTTTCCTTAAGATGCGTATTTTAACTTCACTTGAGATGTTATTTTCGATTTTTTTAAAATTCGTTCTAGAGATATTAGTTTAATTGAAGACCTCTATTTACACTTGCAGAGCAACTGTCGTGTAATTAGGACTTTTTTCTGTTGAACATCTTCAAATTGTAAGAAATTGAATTTGCCTTTTCACTGAACCGAAACAATTTCCAGACTCTTTCCCACTTAAACTAGAGGTAGCACAGTTGTCTTTGTTCTGAAGGATGGACGCCTTTCGGTGGCAGAGCCATTTCCTTTCCATCTGGGTCGGAAGCAAGATCCAGCGATTACTTAGTCAAAACTCGAAGACGACAACGTTTTTTTGACCCGGAGGCAGAGCGAGCCAGCCAACTTGTCCCCTGCCCCTACGGGTGGACTGCGGGCGGTCCTGCTCATTATGCTATCACAAGACCGAAATAAATTAACACAGTGTCGTCCAGAGCCAGCGAATCTACAGCTACTAAAACAACACGGTTGTCTTTGTTCTTTAAGTTGTGGGGTTCCAGTCTCAGCTGGAAATTGTTTTTTTTTAGTATATAAGCAATTGAAGTTTTTTCCAGGAAAAAATTGAATGGTCGGACTTAAGACTTGTTTGTCTGTCTAAGTTTTGTAGGCATAGTTTCAGTCAGTATTAGTAGCTTTACTACCCCCGCCATTATTATCTTTTTTGTTTTTTTTTTTGCTCAAAAACTATTTGGCCGAAATGGTTTCAGATTATGTTTTAGCCGTTGAGTCAACTTTATTTGTGTCATTTGAAGGACAAAAGTTATTTTTGTTTTAAAAAAGAAATCAGGTCGTTAGTGGTGTAAAAGTGCAGTGTTGAAAAATTATCGCTCAAAGTTTTTTTGACAACAATTTTTACGAATTTTTTAATGGGCGTCTACTCATTTTTTAACGGCTCAGCGAATAATAAAAGCTTATTTAGCCTTTTAGCTTTATTCAGCTGTTGCTTCTGGTTCTCATCTGTTTTCCTAAATTGAATTTTTTTTCCAAAAAAGAAACTTGCCTGCTTGCACTGTATCGCAAGTGATGCGAAGTTTTTCCTCTTTTTGTTTGTACTATTCGAAATGAGATCGTGGTTTTAGGCGAGTTGAATGTTTAAATTTAGTGAGATACGTTTTAAGTTAGTTGCTGTTTTATTAGATGTGCCTGTCTTGAATATATCATTTTATTATATAATATGTTAGCTTTATAAGGCAGCCTGGACAGTTTTATTAGCCAAAAAGAAAATACTTCATTATGCAGAAGCTAACAGTTTGAGTTCGTAGTCGGCTAAATATAGCAAGTAGTGACTAGCAAGCGTTATCAAATCGGAATGTTGACTTTTTTCGGGTTTTCATTTAGTGCAATAAAATCAGTTGAATCACTATGCAGCTGACTTTCTCAACTTCATGAAAAATCAAATTAAATACTGGGTGGGTACTAGTTATTAACAGGGTAGTGCCAGGGGGCACTTATCGAAGTTTTTTTTACAAAATCAGTTTTTTTCGGCTCAACTGGTGTCTGCTCAAAGACTGTCGGCCTGGTTTCCGCTTCGTAAGTTTTTTTCAATTGCTAATATGAATTTCAAACGTTTTGCTTGGCATGTTTGCGTAGAATTCCTGCTTGATAAAAACAGGTATTATGGAAGTATATGGGATTGGGTTTTTTATTTCATTTTTATTTTGAATCGCTTTGGAAAATTTTGTCTCTTTTAGTTTTTCTCAAACTTTCTACCGCCTTTTTTCAATTTTGCCTGCCTACTCTCTTGGTCTCTTTTTGCTTTACCCTTTGTCTACAGCCTTCAAAAACTCTGTGGGGGGAATATTTGACCAATATTTTTTTCTCGTTTCCTCACAACCTGAGATTTTGGTCTCAATGAATAGAACGGATTTGAAAAGGTTGCCTCCACAAGCGTCTATGCTCAAACTGTTTTACGCATAAAATTATGGCCCTCCGAATAATAAATTTTTTGATTTTTTCGACCTGTTTTTGAATCTTTTTTCAACTTCTCTCGAAAACCAACCTTCCAAACCTGAGGTTGTGGGTTCAATGGAGATGACGGGTAGTGAGAAGCTCCGCTGCATTAGTGGCCGCTGACAATTTTTTGACATAGAAAGTTATCATCCTCGGAAAAGTCACTTTTTTGATTTTTCGAGCGTTTTCTAAATTTTATGATTTTTACCGAAAAATACCCTTCCATATCTGAGATTTTGCGTTCAATCCAAAGAACGGGTTGTGGGAAGCTCCTTTTTATGCTCGACTACGCCTAAATTTTTTGACACAAAAAATGATGGCCATCGGAATAGTCAAAATTTTTTTCTGATTTTGGAATCTGTTTTCTCGAAAACTACCCTGCCATACCTGGGTTAATGGGGTCAATCGAAATTAAAGGATGGGTTAGTTTCTTCTGCATAAGCTGCAACGCCCATTTTTCTTAAAACAAACAGTTATGATTCTCGGAAAGATCAACATTTCTCGATAACTATCCGGCCAAATCTGATATCATTATTAGTTTAATCGACGACAGGTTGTTGGAAGCTTACCTATAATTGGCTACGCCTTGTATTTTTTTTTAAAAAAATTTGCCTGCAAACAAGTGAAATTTTTCAATCGAGAAATCCGATTTTGGTAATATTTTTTACTTAAGCGGCCACGACCTGCTTCTAGCAGAAAAAACTTACGAATTTCGAAAATAAGCTTCTAAATTTCGACCGTTTTTAGAAACTTCTCGGATTTTCTTAAAAATTACTCTATCAAATCTCATTTTTCTGGCAGAAGTGGCTATTCTTAATTTTTTCACTTTTTTTACTAGAGAAACAAATAAGGTTTTGGGCAAAGTCCAAGTTTTTGAAATTGAGCTTTTCGTCCCGCATCAGTATAGCAAATTTAGAAATATCAAACACGTACCTCCAACTTTAGCGAAATTCTTGGTTCCCACACATACGAAAGTCTTGGCTCACCTAGTTTTTTCAACATTTTCTTTTTTTTTTCGATATACTTTTTATGATTGTGTTGCATCGCAAGTGATGCGAAGCTCTGCTTCGGCTCTGTCATTTTTTCAAAGCTTCTGTTTTTTCCGCTATTGTGAAACAAGATTCCTTTGTCACTTTTTATTTGTGAAACTTTGACTCATTGCTTGTATTTGTTAATAATCAAAAGTTAAGCTATCTGTAGAATGCAAACAGTAAAGCAAGGTGTGATTCTTTAAATTGTTTCATGCATGATTTTGAAATTAGTTTTTTTCAGAAACGTGTTCGGCTTACTTACAATGTCAGATTTTCACATCATTTTGCGAGTTTTGCTCATTTTTGTTTTGATAAGGTTGTTATGCTAGGTTTTGCCTATTCGTACAGCTTTATCGGGAAAGATTTCACTTGCAAGTTAGATCATATGAAGGACTTGTGAACTAAAGTTCCCGAGAAATGGCGGAAAATTAAAAGCAGCTCAAAAGTTACGCTGTCTGGTTTATTTCTCTGGTAAATTGATACAGATATACTAGCCAATATTTATGCAGTGCTCTTAACGCGACAGTGGTTGGGGATATTTTGTTCATTTTTGGTTGATACTTCAGTATGTGACTGCTGCGATGGATCAGATGAACCGGGCATACTTTTTGACCAAGTGACTCCGCACGAAAGTCTCAAAGATGAACAGACAAACTCTGTGCACAATAGAAAAACTCATCTATTTCCTTGTACCGATATATGCTAACAAAATGTATCTCCAATTATTGCAATTATTGTGCTGTACATTTTTAATAATTGATTGTTTTTATGTTGGACAATTATTATAAATCAGATTTTGATGTTCTGGTATTTGGATTTTTTGTTTATTTTCCTTTCTGTGATTTTATTTCTAGAAAGTTAACTTGAGAAGAAAGCAAAAACAACGTTGCTTTAAGGAAGACAGAAGTGCTAAAGGTGTAGATAGGTTCACCGTTCTTACCGAAACGTAAGCTTTTCAGACCATCAATTTATAGAGAGCCAAATATGAATGTGGAGGATTTGGTCAACAATAACTTGTCAAGCTACTTAAGCCGGAGTCCGGCACTGCGAGCAATTTTTCTAGATGAATCCGATCCAGATCAATCAGGTGATAGTGTTTCAAAAGTGGATGAAAACAACAATGTGATCGAAAGGAAAGACTTAAACAACAACTTCCCTGCTGATTTGCATGTTGATAAAGAATACAGAACTGAAATTGAACTGTCGTCAAAATGTAACAAAAGTGAATCTACGCTTGAACGTGATTTTAGCCAGATAATCGATGCAAAAATATATGGCCATGACGATAGGATTGAAGTTCCTGCAGTTTTCAATCAAAATAGTGCAATTTGTCGTAAGAGGTTTGCAGCAACAGCATCAGAACAGAGTAATTTAAGCTGCATAGGGGATGCTTCGGTCAAAGAAGAATTAAAGAACGAGTTTAAAAACAAAGCCCATGAATTGCAGAGCAATTCTACTTTGGTAGGATCAGTTGTAAGTAGCAAAGAAACTATACCAGAAGTTCTTGAAGTCATTGAAAAATGCGTCAAATTAGATCATTGTTACACTAAACCAGAGTTTGGTTTCGCATTGGGGTCTCTTCCTACCGTTGGAAAAGAGGAAATTATAGAAGTTTTTTTGAAGGACGTCCCACGAATTAATTCAGTTGAACGTGACTATCTAAGTATGTTGCAAGAGCCAAAATTATTGCCACTCTGTTTGAACTTAGATGAAAAGATGAGAATAGCGAAGCTTAAATACCAAATAGGTGATGTAGTTTTTGTAAAGTTCAAAGCAACAATTAGCAACGTAGTTGAATGTCTAATCGAAGATGTTGCTCCTCATTTACGCGCTTGTTACTTGATTTCTGTCCTAAATTCGGACTCGGATAAACAATGGATTCCAGAAAGCGCTGTTGTCAAGAAAAAGAAAAAATCTCCGCCCAGGATGATCACTGTTCCTGGTAGCTTTGTAAGCGATGTGGCAGTTCAAGTTGAACTTATTTTGACAAAAGATTTCCAAGTTTTACACTACCATAAGCGAGCAGAGGAGTTTGACGAGGAAAACTTGATGGATAATGATCGTCAAATTGAAGCTGAAAGCTGTGGAGGCTTTGGAAATCTACCTAAAATTTCTAGTCCAAGTAAAGCCAGACCTAATAGAGTTCCATATGGGTGGAAAAGGGAAAAAATTTCTCGTAAAGAAGCAGAAACTGAAACTGAAGATATAAGTTTGCTGCTGATGTTAAAGTACCAAGAAGATATCTTTGGTATGAACTATGTGCAAAAATTGACTATAAATGGAATGGAATTAGACGTAAATGAGCTCTAGTTGAGACAGCTTATCCGACTGATTCAAATTGTAGTTGCAATATTAGATAGCATCCTGTAGCTTTCTGTAGTTTTTTTGCTTACATTTAATATAGATATATCAGATACGTTTAGATAAACGATAAATTTTACTTTAATTCACAATCGTGATCAGGGGCGGATCTATGATTTTCTCAAAGGGGCGTATTTTCAAAAAATATTTCGTCGAACTTTTTTTTAGGTCAAACAAGTTGATTTTCTGAGCTTTCCTAAATTATAATAAAGAACTCATTTTTACCAAAATTTTTGTGCCGGAGACATGTTTTGAAAAAAAAAACAGGCCAAAAAATGCGTTTTCTAGGCTTGTTTGGAAATTTTTGACCATAAAGTTTTTTTCTGCGCTCGCTCCCCCATCAAAATTAGTATATATTATGGCGCCAAAGGCATCTTTAGAAGAATTTTAGGGTCCGTCACCAGAAATGGATACCTCAAAATAGTATAAAGGGCAAAACCTTTTGGTTGGCAGGGGGCGATTAGCAAGCTCATCAAACCAGAATATAGACTTTTTTCGTGTTAGCAACTTGTTTAAGAGAATCACTTGTATCATGGCTTATAAGGAATTCAAACTTCCATGCCTTTCCGGCCAACTCAGCCTGGAGGCAACGAATAAGCCTGGGACGGCAAAGGTCCTGGGTGCGAATCTGACCAGTAACAATTTTTTTATCAATCAGGAATCATTGGGTTTCAAATAAAACAGGTCAATTATTTGTCTGTTTATCTGTCGGTCGTGGGCTTAGTTGCCACATACTGGAATCATTTTTTTGCTGCGCACATTTTTTGTCAATGATGCTTTTAGTGCTTGGTTTATTCCTTCAATTTGTAATTTTTGATACCTTGACTTAGTATTTCCTGCTTTGTTATTTTGTTTCGCAATAAAAAATTTCTCGGCCCAAATTATTTCGACCTATTTTTTGTCGGCTTAATGATTTAATTTTGAGTTGTTTCAATGTAAACTTAATTTCAACACTCCCCTCCGCTTTTTTCAAATTGGTTGTATGTTTACCAATCCGTTTGTTGAAAAAAAAAACTTTTCAAACAAAGGTATCAATTGAATGACCGCCTATTCCCCGTGTGCCTGCATACTTCCCTGTAGTCTCTTTTCACTTGACTCATCTGTCTACAGCCTTCAAAAAAGTATTGACCCATATTTGTTTTTTTTTCTTTTTCTCGAAAACGTCTCGGCCCAAATTAATTCGACCTATTTTTTATCGGCTTAATGATTTAGTTTTACCGGCTTAATGATTTAACCCCCTCGCAAATCTCAGTTTTTGATTTGAACGGATGAAACGATTTGGAAAAGATCCCTGCATAAGCGGCTACAACCAAACTTTTTTACACATTAATATATGACTCTAGGAATAGTCAATTTTTGATTTTCGGTCGTTTTGTGTTTTTTTTTACTTTTCTCGAAAACGAACGTTTCAAATTTGAGTTTTTGGTTTCAGTGGAGATAACGGGCAGTGGGAGGCACAAGTACCATAGGGTTCACTCCCAAAGTTTTTTTACAGAAAGTTAATGGCCCTCGGAACAGTCAACTTTTTTAATTGATCATTTTTTAATAAACGTTTTGAATATTCTCGAAAACTACTTTGTCATATCTGAGATTTTGGGTTCTGAGATTTTTGTGAGAAGCCAAAATCTCAGATATGGCAAAGTTTCAGTTGTGAGAAGCGCATTTGGCATGCAAATATGCCAAAAAAGAACTACGTTACCAAATCTGGTGTTTTGGCTACAATCATCATAACAGAGTGCATGAATGTTTTCTGCTAAGCGACTGCGTCCTATTTTTCACGCAAAAATCTATGATTTTCGGAAATATCAATTTTTTGATTCGTCTACAGTTTTTTGGAGTTTTTAAATTTTTTATGCCAAATCTGATGTCATAGGTTTTAATCATAACAACAGGTTGTTATAAGCCTGGCCTTGTAATTGGTTATGCCCACTTTGATTAAGAAAAAAATAATGGCCTTCAAACAAGTAAAAATTAAGAAATTTTGACAGTTTCTTAGAAACTTTTTGACTTTACACGAAAACTAGCGTGCCAGTTTTCAGTTTGTATTCAATTGAGAAAAGCAATTTTGGGAATCTTTTGTGCTTAAGTTGCCACAACATGCTTTTATAGAAAAAAGTTATGGATTTGAACAGTTTTTTGACCGTTTTTTAGGACTTATGACCGTTTGCTAGAAACTTTTCTTTATTCTCTTATTTATATTTAACAATCAAATCTGAGATGAAAAGTTCAGTTGAAATAAACCTTTGCAATAATTGTTCCTGCAGAAGCGTCGAATTCTTAATTTTTTGAAGAGAATGTAATTTCCCTTGTGAAAATTGATTTATCTCATAAAATTTTTATTCTCTTATTACAGAGAAACAATAAAACTTTTGAGCAAAGACCAATTTTTGAAATCACATTTTTTGTGCCGCATCTGTCAAGTAAATTCAATCAATGTCATAAACGTACCTCCAGCTTTAGCTGGGCCCCTTAGTGGTTTTTATCGAGACAGGAAAATTTTGTTTCATGTAGTTTTTTTCAACATATAAAATTTGTTCGACCTTTGTATTTTTTTATGTTTGTGTTGTATCGCAATTGGTGCGAGGCTCCGCTTCGCCTCTGCGTTGGTATTCAGGTTCATTGAACGTAGCAAAGACTCTTATATAGGTCTTGGTGTTTTTATTTTTTTTATGAAAGAACTTACAATGCTAGCAACTACAGATTTGCATTGATAGATATTAACGCATGTATGAATGCACTTCGGCTTAAAATCTCTTCTTGAGTTCAGTTCAAAAATCATTGGCTTAAACTAGTTAAACTGCGCACTTCAGTTACCAAGGGGGATGGCGCGAAATCACGTGAATGACATCTAGTTCCGAAAACGGATTTTAATTTTAAGATATCCCAGCGCAATCAAACTTCTTCGTATTGATCCAACTTTCTCAAATTAAGTTAATTTCATCGGAAAAGGGTCAATTGTGAATTCGTCTTGAAATTCGAACTGCATTGCACCATATAGTTTTACTAAGAAGTTCGCAAATTAAAGTTTTTCCAACTCTTAACTAGACTTTTACTGTGTGCCTGCGTTCATTGACTCTTTTCCAACTGCATGTTAGCTGTGTGTTTATCTTAAATCGCCCAAGGCTTTTGCTTGTTGGCTTTATACCTTGAGCCTTAATTCTCTTGGGAGATGAATTCCATTCATTTGGCCGTAGCCGATCCCATCTTCAGGGGGCGGATGACGTTGGGAGCCCTGCGGCGATCATGAGCGACGTGCGATTGGAAGCCACGCGTGGCAAAGGACGCGCATCTTACTAGTAATAAATGTCAATGTTCATCATTTTTATTTTACTTGACCTGTTGAAGACGAGGCGATTAGAAGCCACGCCTGGTAAAAGATGCGCGTCTTGCTTGTAAAAAAATGTCAGTGTTCATCATTTTTATATTAGGTGACCTGTTGAAGACGAGGCGATTGGAAGCCACGCGTGGTAAAGGACGCGCG